GATTGGGAAGTAGCCAGGGCCTTTGGCGCCAATGTTCTGAGCTCAAGGTCCTATCGTTGGTGGAAATATGGATGAACTCTGCTCTTTCCCCCTCACCCTCCTTCCTCGTTTTCAGATATAATGACTAATCTACTAGATGGGTGTAGCGAACAGGAGCATCCTGATACCTAACGATGCCTTCTGCTTTACAAAAGTAAAACTAAAATCGAAAATTTCAAATTTTCAATTATAAATAATGTTTATCGGAGACGAATGTTTTATTGTAAACAAAACAACAGCCATATTCTGATTTTCTATCTCTGGAAGTTTATTAAAAGAGAAAGAAAATTAATCGGAAGAATTCTAACTCTTCTTTAGCTCTTCGATATCAGTCTTTTGGGTCTTCGATAGGTCCGGAACATAATCTGGCTGATTTTTTCGTGACCGTCGTGACCGTCGGCGCGAGCCATTTGTTGCTGTCGTTTCAGTGGATCCAAAGTCGCTAACTGCCGGCTCTTTCGACCCTGGCAGTTCTTTCGACCCTGCCGGTTCTTTCGATCCCTTCTCCTTTGATCTCACCTTTTTTGAACCGCTTTTATGTCCGCCACCTACAGATTGAAATGATGAATCACCCGAGGAAGTTAAGAAACTCAAATTACCTCCATCAGCTTCCTTGGCTGTATCAGGATCTTTAAATGTTTTCGTGGGCTGGGTCTGAAGAAGTGTAAAACTGAAGGATGGCAAATGTGTACTCAATAAATTTGCCGCCTGCAGTTGGTAACACCACGAACATACAGTCTCGTTCGCTGCGGGTGCTGACGCATGCCAAGAGGCTGGGTCTTGGCGCCAGCCTGTTCTGCACTTATTGTGGAATCTGCCAGGAGATTACAGTTGATGGAAAAGTGGCTAACGCTGCGCCAGACCCAGCTTTCCTGGAACGCCTCAGCGTCCAAGTAAGATCATGGGGGGAGGGGGGTGTGGAAGCCACCATAGGCGATTATAATCGATATTCATCTTTTACATGGGTACCTAGCTGAAGTGGCGTAATCCGGGGATTCTGAAGAGCAGTCCTTGACTGTAGATCGGAGGCAGTAGGGTCCAGAAAGAGCATGTGGTGCTCAAAGTAAAACTTTTTCTCGTT